GATCGCAATTGCGATCGCGGGGTTTTTTGCCCCCCGCTGCTTGGGGCGGCAAAAATCCTGGAGCCGGTCCTGAATATTCTAGAGGTCCAGTGAATATTTAGGAAGCACAAGAAGTGGAAGATTGGTCCCCAGATGTGTTGCTTTAGGAAGCAGAAGCCTCTTCCCTGCCAGCATCCTGCTCTGTGCATAGGACCAGATCAGAGTCCTTGGGATGAGGGAGAGTCTATACTTTGTCTTAGCTTATATATCCTCAGTAAAATTAGATTTAGTTACCTTTTTCCTATTTAAAACAGAGTGGGTGACTCATATATAAACTGGGTCATATGATGTTTTGTAAACTGAAGGTTGAGAAGCAATTTCTTAAGATCTTAACAGATTGCTCCTTGAACATTGCTTCTGGGACACACAAGAGCAGCAGCAATGTAGACCTAAGTAACACAAAGGCATCAGCTTGATATGTAACTATAGCTGGGTAGTCAGTAAAAGCAACCAGTATATAATAGTTTCAGCATCCTCAGCACAGCTAGCACTGTGACTCTATATTTTAGAAATGGGGAGAAAAAGCTAGTCAACAACTGAGGAAGGAAATCAAAATCCTGAGATGCCGCATGGACACTACTTACACATGCTGTAGAAGAGATATATGGCATGTATATTTCTAACAAAAAGAGAAGCAGAAAGTCAAGATACTGGGTGCTAAATGCTATTTGCAAATAAAATCTGGAAGAACTGTGTATCTGTACCATAGCATATGGATTCATATGTGAGTTTAGAAATCAAACATAGCATAAGAAAGCATTCTCAGGTGGCTGCAAATAGTCTGTTCATGGCCAACTAATGGAAATGATTTGGACCCTTTATGCAATGATAGGCAATGATGATATATGTTAGCACATTATCTGTTCCTCTTTCTCTAAATATCTCCCTCTCCCCCTTTTCTCCCACAAATGTGTTTAAATACAAGTGTGTATGTGTGTGTGTGGGGGGGGAACCACAATAAAATATAGTTCTATTAAACCCAATGTTATCCCACACAGGAGGATAATCAACTCAAAATTTGCACTTTTTAAAATTTTTATTGTACCAACTGTTTAACATTTAAGGCAAGAGAAAAAATAGACATTTTAACTTCTTTATGCATTTGGCAGCACTTTGTGCTTAATTAACTTCGCAATTTCCACTATTGAGTCAGTTTCTGTTGTTTGGGTGTATCTTTAATACAGCAACAGGGAAGAGAAAAATATCTATTTTTTAAAAATAGGAAAATGTAGTTCTAAAATCACAGAAAATAGCATGAGGGTTCTGGGGCAAATGTGGTAGCTAAAGGTAATTTTTTTTAAATACTGGGTGGATCTCAGGTTGACGGCATCCCTTTTTTAAACTCTTTTATTTTTGCTATTTAATTGCTTTACAAGTGTTTTCATGTTTGGCCTTATTCTAACTGAAAACTTTTAAAATATGTCTCAGGATGCAGAATAGAAAACTGCGACTCTTGCTTTAGCAGAGACTTTTGCACCAAATGCAAAGCTGGCTTTTACTTACACAGAGGCCGTTGTTTTGGAGAATGCCCGGATGGATTTGCATCCTTAGAGGAAACTATGGAATGCGTGGGTGAGTGTCTTTGCACAAGCTCTATCATAGCAGTTATTTTAACACCTGTATCTTTATGAAATGCCTGCTGGATTTATTCTGCACTTCTGATTCCAAAATGCCTTATTAATTGGGATTTAAATTTATAATAGTCTTGTGCTGACATTTTGAATTCTCTAGATATTAAAGGGGACAAGTTCAAGTAATTACATCACAAATTTTTTTCTTACTAACATTGGTGTTTATATACTAGATGAAACTACTAATGTAATCCAGCTCTCTTTTTTTATCTCAATAAATTAGTCACTGTTCTCAGAAAAACATCTCTCTCTCTCTAACATTGTGACCTTCTCTAGGTTTTTAAATAGCACAATATTGGGGTGCTCTGCCCTATGCCTACACCAGAGTTTGGTCAATTTTATTACGTCACCATCATCAGGGTCTTATACCTTGGCTTTTTAAAAACCTCATCCTCCTGAAAACTTATAAACCAGGCCTTTACATATAATGTATATAATTACAGGGTTGGTGCACACCTAAGTCTACCCATGCAATATCCGTTGCCCAGCCACAGGGCTGGCTGAGTTCATACTGAGCAGGGAATTTTAACTTTGCCTTCATTCAGCTTTTTCTGAAGCCCTCTTCTCTTTCCCATGTCACATGTGTAGAGGGCAGGATGGGAGCAGAGAGAGGATTTGTCTTTCCAGCTCATGGTCCTTGCTGGGTGGTCCTAGTAGTGCTGCTAATCCCAGTGTGTTCTCTTTGCCTCTCCCCTGTATCCCCAAGCTGTTGAAAGGAAAAGTAGAAGCACATGAAACCTGGCAGGGGGTTACTCCTTGCGAGGCCCAACAGCCAAGAGGAAATGAACATGTGCTTCCACATCCACACACACAGGGCACGTGGGCTAGGATTAAAGGACAGAGATAGGGAAACTGAATTCACCTCACCACCTCCCAATGTCTGAATAGCTCCCATCTGCAAGAGTACGGTGAGTACTAATTGCAGATTCTGTAAAGCTACTGAACTGAATTCCTGCCATGGCTTTGGATTTACTTCAGAAAAGGAGTGACTCCCAGTTCAAAGCGTTTAAAGTTTATAAAACTAAGCCAACATTGCTGACTCCTGAGTGAGTCTCATGATATTTTATATTTTTGTTAAAGCTCCAGCTCGTAATGTGAGGCACTCTCTCCTGATAGTCATGCCTAGTGGTCAGAGCAGAGGTTGAAGCCAGATTTCAGGGCAGGCCTGGGCTGAGGGTAGCACTGGAACCGAGATTTGAGGAGAGGCTGGGGTCAGAACCGAGATCATAGTCTGTAGACAAGCCAGAAGTAGTACTGTAGCCAGAGTCCAGCTGCAGGCCAGAAGTTGAAGATGGGTGGTTAGAAACCAAATCTGTATGCATCCGAAGAAGTGGGCTGTAGTCCACGAAAGCTTATGCTCTAATACATTTGTTAGTCTCTAAGGTGCCACAAGTACTCCTGTTCTTTTTTCAAATCAGTACTGTACCTGGAGTCCAGATACAGGCCAAAGGTCACAGCTGGGTGGTCAGAGTCCCATGGGGTCAGGAGGTGGAGGCAAGGGCTGGAGCAAGGTCAGAGCAGGGCAAGGACAAGACTGGAACAGGGCTTGGGCAAGGCTGGGGCAGGAGCAGGCTGAGAGAATCTGATACACTGGGAGATAGCAAGAGGGTTCTTGGACAGATAATGCTATTGTACAGACTGATCTATAGCTCTGGCGGGACTGGGAAAATATCAGAGCCTGGGGGGTCATCTGACCCACGCTCCACTCAGGGATAGGTTGCTTCCACATTCTTGATGGCTGAGTCACTGCAGGCTCTGGGAGGGATAAGTCAGTAAAGCTGGGTTGTTGCTGCATGCTGGCATGCTCACTGCAGTTCTGTTGGAGGGGAACCCATTGATGCTCTGGGTGGGCGGGTGTGGGCCTGCCTTTACTAAAGGCTCTCCTCTGCAGCCTAAGAGGGAGGGGCACCAGACCCAGTCCTCAATGACAAGGGACAACAAAAGGAAAAACAGGGATGGGAGTGAAGATTACCGGGATAAAATCTGGGATCCAAAGGGAGACACCGAGCAGAGAACTTCGGACAGTACTCACTGCTTCTCCAGGGAGCCAGTGGACGCAGCCCAGAGGAACTTTGTCTGGAGATGTGACTTGAAAAGGGATCAGAAATTGGCTTCCAGTCGCAAAGCCCCTCTTCCCCACAATCCAGCTTCCTCCTCCTGGTATGGTAGAGGACCACCTTGGCCAGCACCAGGAAGAGATTGACGAGGAGGTCTCGTGACTTCATAGAATCACAGACAGGGTGTGTATAGATCAAGATGTGTGGGGAAAGTGCAGCCAGAACTTACGAAGGTTTTGGAGGAGCTGGATGAAGGGCTTCTCCAGTCTGATGCACCCTATATAAATGTGCACCACGGTCTCCCTCTCACTGCAGAAGGGTCAGGTGTCAGAGGAGGAGGTGGTGAACCGTTCCAGGTACACATTTGTGCTCACAGGTCGATGAAGGAGCCACCAACTAATATCCCCAGCGGGTCATGGGATCAGAATGGAATATTTACCCTTCTGGGGTGGTAGGAGTTCCCTCCAATTGGTGTCAGGGTGGAACATGAGGGCAAGGAAATGCAGGGTGTGGAGCACTAGTGCATACAGATGTTTCCTGGGGACGATTCAGAGGCAGACTGGCTACATGTTATGCAGCTGGTTCAGGTGGTATGTCAGGGGTGGCTGGGGAGGCTTGCAGGGCAGGGGCCTGATGATGAGGTCCGGAGGGCCAGGGGTGAGGTGCAGGTGGGGAGTATCCTCCCGCAGGACTAGAGGAAAGTGTGATAGATGGGTAATAAGGCTGTCCATGCCTCCTGGAGCACACAATGGGGAACACGAGGGTGGTGAGTCCCATGCACTGGCTGAGCACTATGGAGTCCACCCAGTCCCTTCAGTCATAGTCCAGGAGGTCTCTGATCCTGGTGGCACTAGCCAGGACCAACCTCCAGTGCACCAAGAGGGGACTCCACCTAGGGTGACCAGATCACTGACAGGAAATATCGGGACGCGGGGGTGGGGAGAGGGGTGTGGAGGGGAGGGCAACCAAAAAAAAAAAGCTGTTTTGCAGGTGCCGGGGGAATTAGCAGACCCTGGCCGCGCCGTGGCTACTGCCCCCCTCCCAGGGACATGCGGCACATCCTGCCGCCCCGTGGGGAAGGAGCCGCTGGAGCAAGAGGCGCAGGGCTCCGGACCCCAGCAGCGGTGCAGGAGAGTGGCTCAGGGCAGCGCGAGTGGGCACGTAAAGTTTATCGGCTGGGGGGGGACCCCAGCCGGCTCCTCGCCCTGCCCTGTAGGGGGGGTAGTGTCCCCACTCCGCGCCAGCATGTTCCCAGGGCCGCAACAGGCCAGGTAAGGACCCGAGTCCCCCTCCCCCCTCGTCCTGGCTCCTCAGCTGAGCGGCATTTCCCCCTCCCTCCCATGCTTGCCACTGGAATGCTGGTGCAAGCCTGGAGGAGGGGGTGGTGGCCGGCTTCCAGTTTCTGGAGCTGGTGAGTAGGGGCACCAGGCAGGCAAGGGGGGCTGGCAAGGGGGCTGCTCCCCCAGGAGGGCGACGGGAGGGGGGCTCAGCTGAGGAGCCAGGACGAGGGGGGAGGGGGGAACTTGACACCTTCCCTGGCCTGCGGTGGCCAGCGCAACATGCTGGCGTGGGGCAGGGATGCTACCCCCCTACAGGGCAGGGCGAGGACCCGGCCGGGGTCCCCCCCAAAGCCAATAAACTTTCCATGGCCACTCGTGCAGCCCCGAGCCACTCTCCCCCGCCGCTGCTGGGGTCCGGAGCCCCCCTGTCGCCCTCCTGGGGGAGCAGCCCCCCTTGCCCGCCCGGTGCCCCTACTCACCAGCTCCAGGAACTGGAAGCCGGCCACCACCCCCTCCCTCCCAGGCTTGCGCCGCCATTACAGCAGCAAGCCTGGGAGGGAGGAGGAATGCCATGTGCATGGGGAAGAGGCGGGGCCAGGGTGGGGATTTGGGGAGGGAGCCAATGGGGGAAGGAGGGGGCGGAGTCGGGGGCGGGGGGGAGAGCCCTTCCGGGAGGGCAAAATTGCTTGTTTGTCCAGTGTCCCGACTGCACATCGGTCGGGACACAGGACAAACAAACAAATATGGGGACAGTCCTGATAAAATCGGGACATCCGGTCACCCTATCTCCACCACCTGCACACCAAGCAGGATGTTGTCTAGCAGGGGCTCTGTAAGGAGGTCCTCCTCCTCTGTGGCTGCCACAGACCTGGTCATCGATATGTTGGAGAGGCAGCTGAGTGAGCAGCCCTGCTTTGGTTGTGGATTTGCCTCACACCTGGAATCATGTCATGTGAGACTCTGTTTGTATTTATTTTTTAAACTGAGCCTTTATGACTGAGGAGAACATGAACCTAAAGGCTCGAAAAACATGAACAAATGAAGAGAACCCAGCATTATTAATTAAGTTATTTTTTTCATGATTTGTAAGCTAGTCTCATGATGGGGACGGGCAGGAAGGCTGACTCATTCTCTTTGAATGGTTGGCATTGACAATGCTACTATACCTATGCTTTTGTGGATTAACCATATCGTTTTGTGTTTTATTTCTTCTGTCCTTTTCCAACTCCTTATCTTGATTCTTTAATTAATTTGTTCATTCTGCTAATAACACTATGTGAATCACACTCTTAGAATATGCCCACCAAGCAAAGTTTCAAAAGACCATTCTTTTTGGTACAAACACTACTTTGTACACTGCTTGAGTAGAAGCCACAGATTGTAACTTCTGGATGAACATTTTTAGTTTCAAAGGATAAACAGCCTAAAAATACAAGTTAGAATCTTCTGGATACAATAGTGTCAAATATAAAACAGGCACCAGTTGATGAGAGAATGGTTACAAGCCATGAAAATAATGAAAGCCATGAAGAGGGAATTGTTACAAAGAATCTGTGGTTGGCTAGTTGTTGTTTGGACAATTCAGGTTTCTGACACAATTGCCTTGTAAAAACTGCAAACTAAGATCATAATTTGAGATTTCACTGAACAATAAATTTTACAAGCAATAACTTCTAATTTAATACTCTTGCTAATTAGAGTTGCCAGGTATTGTGAAAGAAAGAGACACAGATACAGACAAAGCCCACTAATTTATGACCTGTTTTGCTTTATCAGAAGGCTGTGAAGTGGGTCCCTGGAGTGAATGGGGAACTTGCAGCAGAAATAACAAAACCTGTGGATTTAAATGGGGTTTGGAAACAAGAACAAGGCAAATTGTGAAAAAGCCGGCAAAGGACACAATACCTTGCCCAACCATTGCAGAGTCCAGAAGATGTAAAATGGCTGTGAGGCACTGTCCAGGAGGTAAGAACACTCCCCGCTAAACAATTTTATGAGCCTTTTCTAATTTAAGTCCCATTTATAACTGGGAAAACAGAGCTATATAGTCCAAGCAAGAGAGAAAATCCTGCCCTTACTCTATCTTGTGCAGTTATGCATGGGCAAAAAGGCAATAGAACCACACTACCGCACACAGAGCCAGTCCACTGGGGGGCAGGGGTGTGTGTGTGTGCAATCCATAGTGGCATTTTTTCTTCTCCCCCCACATGCCTACCTATCTCATCCTAAAGGTTTAAAATTTCTCTCTCTCGATGCAGCGTCTCCATTTATTGTATGTACAACACATACAATATGTTTATGTGCTGGGTAAAAATGTTCAGCTCTTTAAACCACATTAAACAAAACTACTAACTACCCTATGTCTTTTTTTAAAAAGAGAAGGCATACTGAATAAGTCAAGCATTATTGCTTAGATTTAGCTAATTTTACCTTTTAGCATCTTCACTTATGGCTGATTGTTAACCTATTCTGTTAGTAAACCATAAAACTCAATATGTTGCATCTATGGATGATGACAGTGCTTTATGTGATCCAAATTTTGAATAGCTGGAAATATGTATACTACTTGCAACTCTACTTTGCTTGCAAATCTAAGTGCTATTTTTACACAAAGTGAAAACATGGGAATTTTAATCCATTGTTTACAGGGAGGAAATGTGAGGCAAATCATTTGTTACTTGCAATATTACAAATCAGTATAATATTTGACTAATAGCTAATGCATATTGTTGTCTCATCAATACAATATTTTATAATATATACCTGTTTATCAGGTGGTTAAAAACTTGTCAGCCTACCATTTTGTCAGCAATTTAAATGTAGCCCAAACAAGACTCCTGCTACTGCTTTAAAATTAGTTGTACTGTACTTTAACAT